TTTTTAAGGAAAACTAATGTGTATGTGCCGAATTTTTTTTTAAATAGTTTTTTATAATTGCAATGGAAGGGCAATTGTCTCATTACAAGTGGTACAGAAGCCAATACTTGGGTTACCATAGATATATAAGCAAGTAAAAACTGTGGAACAAGTTTTAAGCTCATTTTGGAAAAAAAACAACAGTTCTGTAGAAATGCATATTTGTATTTGTTTCTCTAATAAATCTGCAAATAGCTTTAAACACAAATTAGTTTTAATTATTTAAATTATGAGTTCTGTTAAGTAATTTAACATCTGTTTTGCCTTACATTTGTGAAAACATTGTCTCGTGGAAATAGAGGCTTATTGTGGAAATCAAGGTAGGTCTGCATTTATTCAAAAAGGTCAGGTATTTAGCATTTAAGTACGTTTACCTCTATGAAATGATTAAAGAAGTTTTATGAAAAACAACATTTATTTTCTTCCCCCAAATCACACCATTTAGCCAATGCCCAAAACAAAGATCAATTTGCATCAGCTTTAACTCACTATAAAAGAACAACAAATAAGTGAAATCATGTTCAAATGGTTGATAATCAAAAGATTATTTGATTCAGATAATTGACTTTATATAAAGCAACAAAGAAATACAGACTTTTCTGACTCTCAGTGCCTCAATCTTTTTAAATGTGATTTACTCATGATTAAAATTGTTTTATAAAATACATGACATTTCTCTTCAGTTGTGACTTTATAATAATGTATGTTGAATAATAATGTCTTAGGTTAAAATGCAGTAATTTATTGTTAGTAAATAATGTAGGTTCCCCATTTTATAAAAAAAAAACAACTGCTTCATAGAGGATAGATATACTAGATTTAAGTTGTTATTCTACTTGAACAGAGATGGTAAGCTTTTGATTAAGGACTCGATTATTACAATCCTCTTGAACTACAAAGAGCATTCAAGTTATAATGAAGTCTTTGGCTTTAGGAATTTGTTTTTGCTAGTAAGATGTTTCAGGAGATCTGGCATAGGAAAACTAAGAATTATCAAAAAGTGTCATTGGTTTATACAACTTTACAGCTTTTGGTCAATAATGAATACTATTTCTTGTTAGTATTTAAGAAGATGGGTAGTTATATCATTTTTCTTTAATGAAGTTATTACAACCTAAATTTCAAAATAATGATTTTTCAAAATGTCCACACTTTTAATGGTATGTCATTTGCTCCAAATATTAATATCTTAGCAAGCCAAATACCTTATTCTGAGTTCTTGGTATGTAAAGACTGTGTTAAAAATACTTCAATATATTTACCAAAACATCTCGGATAGATTTGATTATTTTTTGGTATTTCAGTATTTTGTCTATTTTAGGAGATAAATGTTGAAAAGGGCTCTGATTAGAGGAAACCCATAGACTTGTATGTAGTGAGACCAATCATGCTGACATTGTATTATAAAATAAACTATTAACTTTAGGATTTAAAACATAAAAAAGAATTGTAATTTTAAACAAATATCAACCGGATACAAATTAACTTATATTGCATTTTTAAAAAGAAAATGAAGTGAACTTTTTTTGAATCTAGAAAAATTTTTCAAAATATCTTAGGATAAAAAATAAAAACCTCCCGTCAGTTATGTATAGGATGAATATATTTTGTGGATTTCAAGTTCCTAGTTTTTTTTTTTTAAGTGCTAATAAATTTACCACTCAGCAGATACAACTCTTAAAAAAATCTTTAACATTTTTGTCTTACATCAAGGTGATGGTTTTGAGGAGCAAGGGTGTTTATACACAGCAGATAGAAGATAGTGGCAATTATCAGGACTTTTTGCATTCAAACTACCTATTATATAAGAAATTCAGAAGGCCACATATTCAATTAGCTAGTTTTAATTAGAATATCTTATCACTTTGCCAGTAGAGGGAAAACTTTGAGGTTGAACTGTAAAGTTTGACTTTATGAATTCTAGAAAATGTTATTTCTACACACATTGCAAAGGCTTAATCTAAATTAGAGAACTTTACAAAATTCATTTTTTTAAGTTCATGGAACTGATTTTTAAACATTCTAGCAGATAGCTAAACATAACCATTGTTCATTGTTTTAAGAAATGCTTATAATGTTAATGCTTTAAATAATCACCAATGTAATTTCTGAACATAAAAATACTTTAAAAAATAAAATATTTTCTTAAAACGTTTTAAAAAGTTTTCTTGTAATATGTCCATTTTAGGAACTACTTCGTTTAAGATAATTAATTGAATAGCTTTAAAAAAATTATACCCATTGTTTCTTTTGGTTAGCATCTCAATTTGTTTTTATTTTACACATTAATTTTGTTTATTATAAAATAGTTTTTCTCTACATATTAAAGATAATTGAAGATTTTGTAGATGATAATAATTGAATTTTTAAAATTTCTAAATAGAATTCTAAATACTAATAGATCCAGTTATCATCCATATGCTAAAAAGTATCTCCTGTAAAAAACTGAATCTGTTACTCA